AAGTGCACATAAAAGAAAAGAAAAAAATAATCACAACAATAAAACAAGGAATTTAAAAACTTTGAAAAGTATTAAAAAAATTGATTTAAGAGGTTTAAAATGAACTGAAGAAAATGATTATACATAAAATATAGTGAAAATACAGAAGTGATCAGATAGTGCTACGTCCTTAATAACAATGGATGAAATGTTTAAACCTCTACTGATGATTAAATCTAGAGTATGTCCACGATTGTGTGTGGGTTCACATTAGTCAATCTGGAAACATAAAACAGCCTCAGAGACTTAATGAACTTCTCAGTTAAGGAGAAATATTTGAGTTCATTTTGGTGTTGTTATTGTTAACTAAAACTTTTAGTGCCTTGGCAACTCACAGAATGAACAGAAAAATACATTAAAATACATTAAAGCTAAACAGAAATGTTTAAAAATTCATAGTAAAAATGAAAAAAAAAAAAAAAAAGTACTAAAATTTAAATTAAATGTGAATTAAAGCTAAACAGAAATGTTTAAAAATTCAAAGAAAAAAAAAAAAAAAAAAAAAAAAAGTACTAAAATTTAAATTAAATGTGAAAATATAAAATAAAAGCTAATTCAAAGTATTAATAAATAATATTGTAGTAGATAAATAATACTAAAATAACATGTTTATAATGAGATCTCTGACTTGGTATTTGGTATCTTGGGGGCAGTCGTGGCCTAATGGTTAGAGAGTCTGACTTTTAACCCAAAGGTTGTGGGTTTGAGTCTCTGTACTGGCAGGGATTGTAGGTGGAGGTTTGTAGTGAATATCCAGTGCTCTCTTTCACCTTCAATACCACGACTGAGGTGAGACTCTTGAGCAAGGCACTGAACCCCCATCTGCTCCCTGGGTGTCACAGCAAAAATGTGTGTGTGTGTGTTCACTACTCACTGCTGTGTGTGTGTGTGCATCTGGATGGAATAAATTCCGAGTATGGGACACCATCCTTGGCTATATGTCCCGTCACTTTCACTTTTAAATCAGGGCACAGTTTGAGTCATTGTTCAGATCTCTTCTGAAACTTGTGAGATTACTGGGGTCTTTTCTCTCAGGAGAAATATCTCAGAAACAGACGAGTTAAGAACAAACATTTCTAAACCTTTAAACAAACACGGGGGCAGCTCAAAGCACCTCTTTCATTCAAACAAAAGTCTCAGTTTGCTCACTTTCCTATCCTTAAATAAAAACATAATTAATAGTGAGAAAGGAACTGACAAAGAATGCATTAAATTGAATGTGATCAAAATTGCATCAGAAATGCACAAACACATTAAGCAGCACAACTGCTGTCAACATTGATAATATTAAATAATTCTTATTTATCAAATCAGCATATTAGAATGATTTCTGAAGGATCATGTGACACTGAAGACTGGAGAAATTACGCTGAAAATTCAGCTTTGCCAGCACAGGACTAAATATGTTTTAAAATATATTAAAACAGACGTCTAATCAATTGAATTTACAAAACTTAAACAATTTAATAATTTATTACAAATGTAACAATAACAGTGCCCTATGAACTGTGTCTTAATTAATTTAATTTTTTTCTGGATTCTGAGTTTTATGATTTAATATAAATATATTATGAAAAACATTGGTAATCACACGAATGCATAAAAAGTAAATTTTTAAAATGTAATCAAATGAAATTTAGCAAACAAATTGCTACACAACAGAGGTTTACTGTTTAAATTAAAATATGGATGAAAAAACTGTACTGTAAACTGTATTGTTGTTGAGAATATATTCTACTGAACAACAGTAATATATTTCTGTCACACTTTCTTAAAGTTATTCTTTTTTTTTTTAGGGTTGTAGTGAAGATCTTTGTGTTTCTGTGTTGTGAGATGAAGTTCATGTGGAGTGTCTTCATATAGTGAAATTATATGCTAAAAAAACAAGAGTATGTGTGAAGTAGACAAAACTACACCAGACAGACTTCATATTTAAATGTCTTCTGGCACTTTAACTTTTACAGACTTTAGTCCACATTACAGTTTGAGTGTACAAGCCTGTCTTTGATTTATCTATCCAAAATTTTGTGACATTCTGAATTACAGGCCCTGTTCAATTTTTATGGCTGGATTCTGTGATTTTGTCTACATATTTCTGAGGTACCCAGGTTTGAGCAGTTAAAGCACTTAAGTTTGCAAACAAATCGGTGCTGACAACAGTAAAATTCGAACAAACATTTCTAAACCTTTAAACAAACACTGGGGCAGCTCAAAGCACCGCTTTCATTCAGTTTAACAGATGTGTTTCATTTACCTTTATGAATATTACCCTCAAGCACATTGACAGGAACACACAAAACCAGCTCACTGGTTTGTTGATATTACAGATAATGCTGTGCCTTAAACTGCTGGTTGCCATAGTAATAAACAAACCATCTCCCAACTCACACTTTTAGACTCAGCCACTTTATATCAGTCAGCTAATTCCCATAAAATCACTTTAAGATGCTACATCATCCTCAAGTCATGCAGCAACACATTGACTGTAATAAATCTTATCTTTGAAATATCCACAGATTAAACATGCAGTTTAACTAAAACTAGTGCGTGTGTTCCTATTACCTATCATCAAAACTGTTAAGAGAAAGAAAGAGAGAGAGAGAGAGAGAGAGAGAGAGAAAGCAGAAGGTAATGTTAGTTATGATGCTGTCATTTCTTGTTGTGTGTAATGTCAATCAGATGGCCATCTAAAATAAAATCAAAACACACAATGAATCAGAATCAGGAAACTTTCACACAACAAAACCTTATTATGTTGGCTTGAGATGATCTACTACACTCTCAGAAGAAAAGGTACAAAAGCTGTCACTGGGACGGTACATTTTCAAAACCTTTGTACCTAAAGTGTCCATATTAGTACCTTAAAGGTACATATTATTGTTACCTAAAGTCAGTGTACACATTAGTTCCTAAAAGGTACAAAAGTGTACCTTTTGAAAAGTTACTTTCATCGAGGGTGTCAAAACTTTCAAACATCGACTCTTACAGATTATTTAACCAACAACCACTGTTCAAGACCTTCAGATATTCATCTATCTAGCTAGCTATCTATTTATCAGTAGCAAAGCCTAGCAACTAGTCTAGGGAATGTTAACAACGTTAAGTCATGCTAACAACATCCTAAGAAACATGCAATGTGTTAAAACATGTTAGTAATATACTAATTCATGCTAGCAACATGTTAAAACATGTTAAAAACATGCTAGCAACAGCTAAAACATGTTAGCTATGTGATGCTAAAAACATGTTAGCTGTTTCAAACATTGGCTTTCTCAAGCCAACATAAAAGTTTGTCCTAACACGTTTACTCTCTAGTTCTGTTATGGCACTGTAAAAATAAATCAATGAA